TCCTTTTTTCCCCCTCTTAAGGCACTATCCATTAACATGAGCCACTCGCTTAAATCTTAAATGTTAACACAGTTACTGTTTGGATGAAGAATGTATTTCTTTCTTCTATTTTTCCTTCTCCAATGTGAGGTTATTTTGCCAGGGCATTTCCATAAATCCCAGCAATCACAGAAAAACTTAACACCTTATGTAAAAAAAAAAAAAAGTCAAAGAGGGCCCCCTAGTGGATCTTTGCAACATTACATTACATTGCATAAATTCACTAACATGGCATGGTTTGGACAGTAGTATCTCACTTGACATTCAGGTAACAAAGCCCATTATGATGATGTAAATTATCCTTTAGCTCTTTGTAAAAGACTTAACAATATTTCCTCCTATGTACAGCTGCATATATTACAAATTCTGATATTAAAAATAGCCTAACCTGTAATCCACAATAAAAGTAATAAAAAAGAAAACATGTAAAACAGTAATTTGCTTCCAGGCGTACCCAACTGAGGACCTGTATGAGATTTCTGGCATTCCAATATCAAACAGCATGTTACTTAAAAGTCTTCTGGAGGATCTGGTTCTTTTGCTCCATTATAGGAGTAGCTTGATATTAACTCCAGCTATACTGTTTAGGGAGGGGTTTTTTTGTTGTTTTTTTTACTTTCTCAATGTCAGAAAAAAATGTTCATTTTCTGAAATTTGCAGTCCAAGAGCTCGCATGGCACAGTGTCAGACAAGCAGCTTAGTCACAGTCTGTGTTGGGATTATTGCTTCATTCTCAAACTCTGCACTTCCTCCTGTAAGAAACAACAACAAAAAGAACCCTTTTAAACAACTGATTATACTGCGCTCGTGATCTTGGAACCACAACTGCTGCTTATTTTTTTCACCCATTATGCAGCAGGCAGTAAGTAATAACACTCACAGAAGTCAAGACACTGACCTGCAATGCTAGTCTTTTGTTTCTTTCATCCCTCAGTTCTTCTTTCACTTCCTGCATGTCTCGCCTTATAAAAAGAGACAAAGAGAACAAAATGAGGAGGTTGGAGATGCTGGTAAGTCTAAATAGGTCAACAACACTGTGCAGTGCCAGTCAAGATAATAATACATTTAGAAAGTTACTTCTGTAGCTCTAACAGGAAAGACATTTATTTTAATAGTTTAATTTTATTGAACTATTATGGTAATATAGGTTTTTGCAGATATGCTAGGGTATTGGTGTGGGTGCAATTTATGTTAAAAACAACAACAACACACAAACCTCAAAATCTGGTACTCAGATATGCAAATGTTTTAAAATGTTTGTTTTTGTAGATGCAGCTGTCTAAGTGAAAGTCTCTTTTTTGTCTCCCTTGGGAGAAATTGGGGTTACACTACACAAACCCATTGCAATCTTCCATACACCACAAAAATAATGAAAACATACAGGGATTATTTAAAATGGGTAAATAAATAAATAAATAAAAACATTTATTCGCTAAAAAAACGCCTGTTTGATGATCCAAACTGCACAGGTTAATGACTAACTCGAGTTTTTACACACATACGTCTCAGCAATAAAGGACTTCTGTAATATTTTTACAAACTATCACTCGCTATACTTTCTGAAAACACACGGAGGTGTGAATCTTAAACCTAAAGCAGTTTAAGATTTCATTGTAGTCAAGCTTGCAACTGCAGCCACAGCCATGACCCGCCCCATTCAGCAGTTTCATACTTGAAATCACCAGGTGTTATAGTCGGTGGTATGTTTGAGCTTGTGAGTCTGAGCTCAGAGCAGACAACACCTCAGATTTACAGACAGATCGCCACATGCCTT